GGCGAAGTTTCGCCATCTCAAATTAAAGATGAGAAACCACTCTACCCTAGCACTGCACAGAAAGAAACCAGAGATTTCCTCTTTTGAAGGAGGTGAAAGCAATAACAATAACAATAATCCAGATTAGTGTGGGTACGCCTCATGGCAATAAGGGGGTGTCAATAACAATAATCTAATCCTTTCTGTTTCAGATTTGGAAGCTTTTCAGCTGGGTTTGAGGATTTCTCCTTCTCAGCCTTACTAATCATTAAACCAGATTGCTTTCAGAAAATGGCTCTTATCTAATGCAAATCCAGGCACCAGATGATACATTGATTTCAAGCCCTAGGGTTTGTGCAATTTTGTGAACGAATTTGGATTGATTTGTGTGGCTTCGTGACCCGCTAGTCCGCGACAGAGGTGGTTGCTCCTCTTTTTGTTTTTCTCTTCTGTCCGGTGAAGCTTTTGCTGCGAGAGTTGTGGTTGTGGTGGCTGGCTATATACATACATACATATATATATATATATATATATATATATATATGAAAAAAAAAAAAAAAAAAGGCAAGAGAGAAGCTTTTCTGTGCAGCCAAACATGAGAATGGAATGGTCATTTCATTTTCATTCCATTCCCATTCCATTCTATGATTCATTCCATTCCCACTTTATTTCATTCAACCACACCAAACATGGCCTAATTGTCTCTACTTATATTTTTTTGAACACATGATTTACATGAGGTGTACAAAAACGATCCAAACGATTGAATTATCAAAAGATAAAATCTAGAAAAAGTTATTTCCAGCTGTAAGACTAATTTACTTTACATAAGGTGCAAACAGAAACTTCCTCTATTCAACAGCTTTCATATTGAATGAGTGAATTTGCTCACATACAAAATAGAAATTACTCCTATAATAACCATGCTAATGGATTTTTCATGAGCCTAGCCAAGAATGAATTGAATGGATTTCCTGTCACAAATTTATCACAATAGACCAGCCTAGATGGCTTGTATGTTTTAAATCAAGAGAATTTAATTTTTGTTACTAAATAGAAATCAATCTAGTTTTTGGGTACAAGGCATTACCTAAGAAGCACGGACACGGATACGGGACACGGATACGACACGACACGGACACGGCGACACGGCAAATCCAAAAAAATTAGGACACGGACACGGCGAATAGTATATATATATATATATATATATATATATATATATATATATATCAGCATTAATAATTTAAAAAAAAAAAACACTGATATGTTTAGGTTGGAATATATATATATATCACTGATATGCTAGTATATATATATATCAGCATCTTTAGGACACGGACACGGACACGGCGAATTATGGCATCTTTAGTTTAGTATATATATATATCAGCATCTTTAGGGTAGTACAAAACAAAAAATAGAACATATCAGCATTAAAAAATTTTTTAAAAAAAAAAAAAAATTAACATATCAGCATTAAAAATTTAAAAAAAAAAAAAAAAATTCCAGAAAAGTGTGTCCAAGCCGTGTCTGAGCCGTGTCCGAGCTGTCCGAGCCGTGTCCGTGCCGTGTCCGAGCCGTGTCCGAAAATAAAAAAAAATAAAAAAATTCCAGACACGTTTTTTTGCGTGTCCGACATGTGTCGGGGCGTGTCCGACGCGTGTCCGTGTCCGACACGTGTCGGACACGGATTCTTCGCCCATTTTGGAGTGTCCGTGCTTCCTAGGGCATTACAAATGTATTGATTTGAATTAATAACTGAATAGCACATAAGGTCCCTTATATAGGGTAGGAAGGCAGTAGGTGAGTTCAGTACAAGGTATGTATCTAGTCCTATTGTGTGTATAGCTAAATACATCACATGTATAATATGAATAATATACATTAATAACACAAATTCCCTAGTATAATTTAATTATATGATTTTGGACATGTGGAGAGATGGAGCCAGCTAAAGTCAAGAATGACAATGACAAAAAAAAAAAAAAATGGAACAGAAGAAGCAAGAAAGTCAATTATTGAGGTTTTAGCCTCTAAGTTTCTCTCTCGACTTGATATAGATTAATTTTCTGTTTTGACTAATTATAAAACAAGTTACATAGTCCACAGTGACTCCACAACATAGAGCTTTAATTTACATCCAGAATATGTGATTCAACATCCCATGACTAATAGCATCCCAATAAGAAATTAAATGTAATATTTCTGCTTTTCACCATTTTCCATTTTTTGAAAATTTTCTGTTTTTGCAAGGACATTTTTGTCTTTTCTCGTTTTGCGTACCAGACACCGTGGGGTGTGCCGGGTGTGTTTGAGAGTTGGTTGGGGCATTTCATTAAGTTCAGGATTTTTTGAAATGCAAGGGTTGCCATTTTAACATTTTTTCGTTTTTCGGGCCGGACGGTCCCGTGTGGGACACGCTACTGGAATTGTCACATACGTGTGTTTTGTTTGGGTCCGTTTGAATCTCATGCATTTTTTTTAATGTGTTTTATTTGGTTATAATATAGTTATGTGAATATATATATTTGTTGTGGAAATAAAATAAAAAGGGAAAATATTTTAATTTTGGTAGTGCCCACCATTATCATCTTTTAAAGGCCAAGAGGCCATTTTGGGGCCTTAAATTCTCTCTCTAATCTCACGGCTCTCTCCCTCTCTTTTCTCCTTTCTTTTTCTTTTTTCTCCTTCAATCTTCAATCTTTGATTTCTCTCCAACCGTTGGGAATTTTTGGGTGCCGTTTGCGGCAAATTGAAGAGCTCGTCAAGATCTACGTTTTGATCTAAGCAAATCCTTGTTTGGCCAACTTTGAAATTTCGAAATTAGGGCATAAAACTGGGAATTTTCTCATCTTCTGAGGTAGGGGTTTCTAATTCATGTTATCTTGCACCTTTGTGAATTAATTCCTATAATTTGTTGTCTAGCATGCTACTTGTGTTGATTTTTCCTTTAAGTGTTTAAATTGTTGTAAATAAAATGTGTGATTATGTGTTCTATTTGATGCTACTTGAAATCGCATACTTGTATGAGTTAAATTCATGTTTTATATGCCTACCATGCTAGATTATAATTGAATGAAAACATGTTGTAATTTCCTTGGAATTTCTTGTAAAGCATGCTATGTAGTTTAAGTTTGAATTAGTTGTAGAATGATGATTATTGATATGGCATGATGCATTCATGCACTTCATTGGGAGGAAATGAGAATGATGTTTTGGAAGAAATGAAAAAGGGGGTTTTTAGGAAAAGATTTGACAAAGGGTTTTTGTGAAAAACCCGAACGCCGAGGAGGTACCGAGGGTCCGTGGTGTTAATGTAACCTAAAGGGAACTAGGGAAATCACCCTAGCGTGGTTGAGCTATCTGGGCCCCAAATGATGCCGCGGGGTTACCAAGGGTCAGGGACAGTAGCCAATCCTTCTCTCGTGTCGTCAAGGAGTCACCGAGAGACAAGTTATGTTAACGGTTTGAAAAGTGGAGAATCGAAGTGATTTTCAAAACGGGGAGCGACATAGCATGGCATAGCATTTCATAGCAACACATTGTCCATTTTGGTCTTGTAATTTGTTGTATTTTTTCCCGGCATAGCATGATCCCGTCTCCTATTGTTCTATTCATTGTTTGAATTCACGAGGTCACAAAAGGTGTGTCTTAGGCACCACCTACTGAACAATTTGCTCACCCCTTATATTTAACATTTTTCAGGGCTCGGGAAGGAAGTAGTGGATGCCAACCCACCACAAGCTTAAAGAGGACTGGAAAAATCCATTTTTTGCCACCCTTTTTGTATATTTTGATCCATTCTTTTGTAAAGTCTTAATCCATAGAAAATGTATTCATTTTGTAAATCATGGTCACGTATTGTAACTATGACACTTGATAGTATTTTGAAGTAAAGTGAGACTATGTAAGTATTTCATGATGAATGGAAAATGAAGTTATATTTTGACCAATTATAGATGCCTTTCAACTATATTATGTCATGTTCTATTGCAGTGAATTCGGGATTTGTTTGCACAACAGGTTTAGTATAGGTTTGGCTCACAACGAGCCTAGTTTGAGGAGTTTTCAAGCTACAGATAGTAGCTATTCAGGGCCTGTCGACCGGCGATCAGCCAACCGACAGAGCCATTCGAGACCATTCCAGAGAGTTGAGTTGTAAGAAGCATTGTTTTAGTCGGCCGAATCTCACCATCGGCCGACCGAAACCCCAGGTTCGGCCGACCGAACCTTACCATCAGCCGACCGATAAGCCACTGTAGCAAAGTCCCGAGAGCATGTCATTTTGGCAATCATTTCAGCCGGCCGACCATGTAGGTCAGCTGACCGAACCTGCCCTGTCAGTAGGCCGACCAAGGGTTATCATCCGGCTAACCCTTCCCTTTTGACCTGCACACTTGACCACTTTGTAAAGCTGTGTCTTTAGAGTACCCTTGGCCCTGGACTGATTCATGTGTCATGTATTGACATAGGAAAAGACGGTTGTCGTCCTTAGTTGATCTCGAGTTCGGTTAAGGACCCGGTTAACGGTTTGGACCCACGGGTTCGGGTAGTTACATTGAAGGAGCAGGTAAGAGGAAAAGATTTCATATTTTTAGTCACCTCACTGTTTTAGCTTGTGGATATGGCAAAAAAACAATTCAGCTTTCTGCAACCCCAACTATGAATGAAAAACATCACTAGCCTGATCCTTTGCAGCCTTCCAAATCCCTTCAAAAAACACCAACTGCATTATTACTATGAAAATAGGAATTGGAAATTGACACTATTTCTTGAAGACCATACCATTCCTCATAGACTAGAATTTCCGGCAGCCTTAGTAACCTTTGGATGATAAAAACATTTTCCTTTTATAACATCTGAAGAAACACATACCAATTAAGAAAAAAAAAAAAAAAAACATAAAAGACCCAAGATTTTATTTATTGAGCAACATACTTGATATTTAGATTTCAGCTCTTAAACTAAGAATAGTTGCAAATTTGGCGTTATGACTTGGATGCTAATGTGCTTTCTCATCACAAGTGTTCCTTATCTCCACTGCTTAATAGTTCTTCTGCGTCTGCCATTCTTGTCTTTTGCTTGGGAAGTAACCAACCAGACATAAAGCAGATGGCGACGGCGATGACAAAGCCTGCAACCATTCCAAATCCAAATGGCAGTACTATAATAATAGACTCTTTTGCTTCTTCTGGTGATTCAATTGCAGTGTTTTCAGGACCTTTTGGGCTCTCAGTGGAACAAGAAGAAGAGAATGATCTACACATACCGTTATTCCCCTCAAAACATGAATCTGGAAATGTATGAAATTGATCTCCAGTAGGGACTATACCAGTGAGTTGAATGTAAGGAACACTGAATTTTGAAAGAAAGCTGAGATTCACTAGTGTAGATGGTATGCTTCCCAAGAGATTGTTATAGAATAAATCCAAAGTCTCCAAGTTTGTCATCTCTGATGAAGTACCAGGAATATGTACTGATAGATTGTTGTTCCTCAGATCCAACACATGGAGTATATTCAAATTCCCAAACTCTGGCAAGATTGGTCCAGTTAGCATGTTGTTGCTCAGGTCCAAAGATGGTGGGAAGCTCCGAATTTGATTGTACTGCAGCTCTGTAGAGTTTGGTCCATTTGAGGAAAAATTTGAGTTCTTATGAAGGATCTTCTAATGAGAAATTCCAGTTGATGAGGTTTTGTAGCTTAGTCAAGCTTCTTGGGATATCTCCAAAAAGTGTGGTGTTCGACAAATTCAAGTAGAAAAGAAATTTCAACTCTCCGAACCATGGTGGAATTTTTCCACTCAAACGGTTCCATGATAGATCTGAGCAAGTTGGTGCAACCACTCAACCAAGTTGGAACCAAGCCAATAAGCTGACAATTTGCAACTACAAGTGTCTTTAGGTTGTTGAATTGTAGATTAGAATCAGCACCCATTACTTCATCATGGAAGTTAGAGGTAAGAATTAAAGTAATCAAGTTCCTGCAATGCTGAAGAATAGCTAGAGCTTCAGATAGATTTTAGAGACAGGTATTTGAGAGTGATAGGTGAGAGAGGGTCTTGAACTTCTTGAACCTGTCAGGTAATTGGTTACAAAGAATATTTTTGGCAAGATTCAAACTACTCAACTGTTGACAAGAATAGAGATTATTAGGAATAGGTCCATCGAATTGATTAGAGCCAATATCAAGGAAGGTCAAAGAAACCATAGCAGAGCAGTTGAGAGCAATTGCTCCATTGAGAGAATTATTGTTGAGATTAAGGGATGAGATGGTGGGTGAATTGGTTAATGAGGGTGGTAAATAACCGATAAATCCATTGGACATGGCAGAAAATTGTTTCAGATTTCCAGGTTCTGGAAAACATTTGGAATGGTTTCTGAAAACCCATTGAAAGAGATATCCAATTTGACAAGATTTGAGAGGTTTCCGAAACCAGAACTCAAAGGTCCAGAAAGCTTGTTATCCTGAACATCCAGTTGGCTCAATTTTGGTAGACGCATGAGATATTTTGGCAAGCTTCCTACAAGAAAGTTTGAACTGAGAGACAGAAGCAGAAATGGTTCGGGGAAAGATCTAGAACTTGCAGTAGTTTTACTGTTCTACAGATATCCCCATTTATTGTACCAACTAATGAATTTTTAGATATGTCTAAGAACCTCAATGAAGGTAGATCAATATTCCTTGGTATGAATCCAGAGATCCCTTTACAGCTTAAGTCAAGAATCTCCAAATTCTCTAGTTGGAAAAATTCTACTGGAAGAGAATAGCTAAAGAAGTTTTCAGAAAGATTGAGAGTTCTCAAATGTATCAAAACTGCCAAGGCTTTGGAAAGCCTACCTTTCAATCTCTTACTTCCAAGTTCTATGCTCACAATCCTCAGCGACGCATTAGAATCATTCACAGGCAAGTCAAAAGACTCACAAACGACACCTTCCCAATTGCAATAGTTGGAAAAATAGCTGCCCCAACCATCAATCTGTGATTCCAAGCAGTCCAAGAAACCATGCAAGGCTCTTAAGTCATCAGAATTGCAAGTTGGATTGAAAGAACTTGTAAATTGTGCCAGAAAGCATAAGCCCAGAAAACTGAAAACAACCGAGTCTCTAGTGTTCATTTCGGGTAAACTCAAAGGGAAGCTAATGCATGAGATCAAGATTATGAGAACAAAATTCTGTTATCGGAGTTTGGCTATCTTAGCATTATTGACTGTAAATTTAATTCCATTGATTGAAAAATTTCACTAGTGAGTGGAAAGATGCAATTATTAGAAGCCCATTTAGCATGACTTTTCTGTCATTAAAGATTTGCATTGTTAAACTTTTGTATAAGCCAAATACAAAAGAAGATGCACCCCAGTATGTGGTCTATTTACACGACATATTTACACTGATTTTAGGAATATCTTTATTCAATTTTACCAACCCAAATTACCATTAGAGTTCAAGAAAAATGTCATGGAGGTCCAATTTTGCACAATAAAACCAATGACATGAGATAGCGGTTATATCGTCCTGGGTGATTGGAGATTTGATATGCTCTGAATCAAAGGACCTGAAGAGGGTGGAGGCATAATGAGGACTGGAACATTGCAGCTGGGAGATTAATCCCGGTTTTACGTCTATGGTTCGAACCCATTTCTGGGTTTTCTTTGATTTTTCCAACAATTTTTTTCAGTTCTTGGATATTGGAAGATATTAATGGAGATAGAAAAGCCCTTCTCTGTGCAAGCAAAGAGGGCTTTTGGGAGGGACACTGTGTGCCGAGAATGGGGTTACCAACGGTAAGTTTGGTGGGGCTCCCAACAGGAAGAAAAATTCTCATAATAACTATGCTAATGGATTTTTCATGAGACTAGCTTCAAGTTACTCTAATAACTATAATGTTGTGTCACAAATCGATCAGAATATTTACCAACTTAGATGGCAGGTTGCAGCTTATTACGTCTGTCCTAATATCCATACACCTATATTGGTCAAGTACATTTTAATCCTCCCTCAAAAGGTCATCGTTGAGCCCAACTCCATCCTAAGAAGGTCCTTCTGGTCTGGAACTGTCCTAAAACAATCAGAGGCAAAGGTGGCTTGGAGGTTGATGTGTAGGCCTAAAAGAGCAGGTGGGGCTTGGGCTTCCAAATTTGGCAGCTTTAAACAAAGCAATTAATATGAAACACATGTGGGAATTATTTTGTGGAGATCAACAAAGAATATGGGGTAAATGGTCTCACCTGTACCTGATGAAGAATACCAATTTATGGGAGCTGAAAATTCCTGAGTCATGGTGTTGGAGCAGGAGGAAAATGTTGCAACTCAGGCCACTTGCAAAGAATTTTATCAAGCACATTATTGGTGATGGATCATCCACAAGATTTTGGAGTGCTTCCTGGCTTGCAAATGGTCCATTAACTCACAGGCTTTCAGAACAACAAGGTCAGTCATTTCATCCACAATGATTCATGGGTTAAATGGTCTCACTTGTACCTGATGAAGAATACAAATTGCCTCCACACACCATAACTCTCCTAGCATCAGAATTGCTCAACCTCCCACCCACCACTTCCACAAAACAGAGATTCCTTCCAGTGGATAGCCTCCCCATCTGGTAACTACTCACTGAAACACACCATTTCTCACATCATTGGCCAATCCCCACCAAATTTGGAAATCCAAAGCTATACCAAGGCAATCACTGACCCTCTTGATGGCAGTTCATTTAAAGCTACCCACACTTGACAAAGGCTCCACCTCCTTCCTCTGTTCCTCAACGCTCACAACAGATGCAGATTCTATACACACATCAAAAATTGGCAACTTTTTGATTCCACTGGTCTTCTCTCAGATTCGAATCTCTCTCCCCGTCGCCGACCACTGCCCAGACCTCCGGACTCATCTTCATCATCAATTCATCCCTTGATTGGTTGATTAATCAATTGCTCCAAATCCTAGCCACCCGAACTGATTTGTACAGTATGCTCCTGTTTCGTCGTTCCTTAACTGCAGATTCAACCCTACTTTGGGCCGACTTCACACTGGCCTACTTTTTAATTGGGACTCTAAGTGCTGGGTATTATATAGGTCCAGCTGCTTGGGCTTTACTGGGACCCTGTAAAATTATCAATCTATTCAATTGCTCAACCTTTCCAGGGAAAAAAATAAAAAATCTCCATAAATATATGTAAACCTCAAAATAAATGAATTATTAACCCATGTTTGAATGGTTTAGATTTGGATTTAGAAGAAATTTAGTAAAAAAATTTGAATTAAATTTCTTCCAAACCAAAATCTAAAGTATCGATTGGGCGCTTCCAAACAGCAGCATAAGAAGATTTATATTTCAAAACAATGAATAAAAATGCATTTCATAAATTCCCTGAATGAATCAATTCATTAAGAATATCAAAAGTAAAAATGCATAAAGATGCATGTCTAATACATTTAAAATTTTATTACTCAAGGGAGGTATGAATCAAAATGATTCGATTTTAATTATATACATATATATTTTCAAAAATATTATAAAAATATTTTGAAACATATTCCGGCAATAATTTGATGAGTTGAACCTTTATTGTAAATTTTTACTCATCTTCTCGGTTATCAAAATAGAAATATATAAATTCATATTGAAAAATAAGTTGTGAATGTGAGATGTATATATGCTGCACTAAAAATGCAAGGTCATTGAACTACACATCTCATATTGTAAACATAATAGCATGAAAAGAATAATTTTGAGTAAGAACGAACCGATTCAATTAAAACCAAAGAAAATTAATATTATGAGTGTGAAGCATAATAAGGAAAAATACTTAAAATTATTTTAAGGGAGATGATCTTAGTGTTTGATCCCTTTTGTTTGATTAAAGTGGAGTGTGAGAGTTTGATTTTTCTATTGCCGTCAGATTATGTATTTATTTATTGTAATATTTTCAATTTTTACCCTTTTTCATTTCTTGAAATTTTCTGATTTTGCGAGGGCAATTTTGTCTTTTCTTGTTTTGCATGCCGGACACCGTAGGGTGTGCCGGGTGTGTCTGAGAGTTGGTTAGGGCATTCCATTGAGTTTAGGACTCTTGAAAATACATCGGTTGCCATTTAGGCTTTTTTCAATTTTTTGGGCCTGGAGGTTCCGGGCGGGACCCGCAACAGGTATTGTTGGTGCACGGGAATTATTTTACGGGGCTATTGCACTTCATATATTATTATTTGGAACATGATTATATGGTTGTGTGTATAATTGTATCAATTATAGTGTGTATAATGTATATATAGATTATATGGAGGTAAAGGAGATTTTTATTTTATTTTTTTTGGCACGTGGGACCCACTTGGATAAAAGGTGATTATATATCACCACACTTAAAAAGGTGATTATATATCACCACACTTATCCATTTTCAGCTAGAATCTCTTCCCTCTCACGCAGCATTTATTTATCTCTTTACAAGATTTTCTTTTTCTTTGTTTTTAAGCTTCATTTTTTTTTCTCCTTAATTTTTCGGCCAATTGGTTGGGTTTTCGATCTTGGTTCCTTGATAGAAAACGTTCATTCCATCGTTCTCTATCACATATGGAATGAATTTAATTTTTGGAGGAGTGGTGATTATTTTACGAATTTTTCAAAATTTTCGATCTAAGGCTTCGGAGGGGGTTTTAGGCCACTTAGAGTCGGATTCTGGAGCTGAGCCTTTGGAACAGTAAAATCTCTTCGTCAACGGCTACGTTCTCACAAAACAGTTTTCTGTTCCGCAGCAGTTGACCGGCGTTGCCTTTTGTTGACCGGCATTGACCGCGTCGACCGGAGTTGACTTTTCCGGTCGGGGATGTATTTTGGCTATTTTTGAGGTAGGGGTGCTCTAATTCACAATTTCTTAGGTTCTATATGAATTTTCATTCTTAAATTGACTATAAGCATGTTTTATTTCAATTATTTTGACTATGTGATTGTGGTTGATTATATGTAAAGTGGTGGATGTATGCTATGTGATAAATGAGTTTATGAATTTAGTTACATCCTTGTAGTGAAGAAGTATGCTTAGAAATGACAAGTTGTTTACTTTATGTATTTCAATTGTCATGGAAATTTAATGTCATAATCGTAGAAATAAATATTTAAAATATTCTTTTACAAGTTGTAATTATGATATGGGTAAAATGTATGGAATATAGTGATTGAATTTAGAATTTGGAATCATGAAGTATTTATGCATCCATTGGGAAAGAAAAAGGGGAAAAGTATATTTTTTTAAAACCAATGAAATTGTTTTGGGGAAAAGTTTTTGAAAAGTGTTTGCGAAAACTCAGACGTCTAGGAGGCGCCTAGTGGTC